CCCCCCACTTGAGCAGACCCCGGCCCGGTGCTGCCGGAGCCCTCGGAGCGAGGAGCCCCGTTGGGGCTGCGCGGCCGCTCCATGCTGGGGAATGTCTGACACGCAGCCTGCGCCCAGCGAGCGGGGAGCAGCGGGTGTCAGCTTACACGCCTTATATAGCCCGGGCCGGGCTGGGGGGAGCGGGGGCACTCCGGGCTCCGGCCTCGCAGCTTCTCTGCCCCGTCGGGGCACGGGGAGATGGCACAGAGCCGGGCCTTTGCCCGCCACGTAGGGCTCAGAAGGTCCTCGCGTTTCCCTTTAGGCGAGGTACAGACGCGTGCCCCGCGCCTGGGCCGGCTGACAGCTGTCAGTGTGAGCACGGGGCGTCCATCCCTCCTGCCCAGAACCCTGCAGAGATGGGCTCACACCCAGGTGCAGCTGCTCGACCAGCTGCTGCTGCTACTGCAGCCCAGCTGCTGTGCCAGGCGGCTCCGGTGGCAGTGTGCTGCTGTGCTGCTCACCAGGCAGAACGCCTCTGGCTGCCATCCCTCCGTGCTGCTGCCTCTCTGCAGCCTGGAACAGCTCCTAGCAGCTCGAGGTTCTGTAACAGTGCTGCAAGGCAGAGCCCATCCTGGGTTTGGGGTGGTTGAGTCTCACTCTGCGCATTACTCTGGCCCCTTGGCTCCAGCACCCCTTAGGAGATGCTGATGGATGTGGGGTGCGTCCCTAACCATGCTGTAGGATGGTCAGGGTGGAGCTCCTGCTGGCAGTATGACCTGTCTCCTCCTGCCCAGTCCTGCTGGGCCCCCTCCTCGCCTGCTCCCACGTCGTTCCCATGCAGCATGATGTCAGGATCACACCCTCTTCCATTTTGCAGAGATGGGCGAGATGGAGTCCTATAAGGTGATGCTGAACGGGCCGGCGCCCTGGGGGTTCCGGCTGCAGGGAGGGAAGGACTTCAGCATGCCGCTCTCCATCTCCAGGGTAAGAGCCGCCGAGAGCTGGTATTGCCCACCCTCCTCCTGTCTGTGGGTGGGAAGCTGCAGCTGTGTCCGAGTGGCTGAGGCAGAGCTGTACAGGGGATGTGAGCAAGCCAGGCCTTGGAGCACTGGTTCTCACTCTGCTCAGCCCCCTTAGAGCCACTCAGCCCCTTATCAGTTCTGGTTTGGCCAGGGGGAATGTGTGCTGGGGGTGTTCCGGGCAGAGAACTGCAGCAGCGATGTGAAATGCTGCGCAGGCTCCTCAGTGTCACGATGCGGTGGGAGGCAGGGGGCCTCTTCCGGAGCCAGCCCTGTGCGGGGGCAGCTCTCTGTGTGCGTGAACTGTGGGACTGGCCTGGTCTGCACCACGATACCGGGCTCAGTGCCTTGGGGCCAGCTTTGTGCAGGCACTCGCCTGAGGCTGTGCTCCCACTGGTCCTGGGACAGGTCCCATCCATAAAACTAGTCCGCTTCTGGAGCAGGGATGTGCGCAACAAGATGTGCTGCCAGCTGCTTACGTCTGGGGCACCCGGTGGGAGCTTTTTCTGTGATGCTTACCCAGGTCGAAGCTGTCTCTTGGGTTCGTGTGGCTCCCCGTCCTTGAGTGGCCTGCACCACGGGTGCTCGCAGCAGCTCCAGCAGCTCCAGAATTGCCTTATAAGCCTTGGAATGTGTCTGCACCGCCCGTGCTGCTGACGCTGGGGCAGCTGGCACAGGGCTGTGGCTCTGAGCACAGCACTGGGCACAGCGTGGGGTCTGCCCCCTGCATTGTGTGCCCAACCCAGGTCACGGGTCTCTGCAACACCCACCCTAGGGGCACTGTGCAAGGCCGGAGTCACCCACGCCGCTGCCCTGGGGCCAACCAATCTTTGCAAGAAACAGAGACGGCTTCAGCAAGTTTATTCTCTAAAAAATGTTTCTTTTGGCTGCAAGCCAGGGCTTAACAAAGGGTCTGATCAGATGGTGGAGCCTCTGAGAGCCCGGGGCTGGGGCCTCATGGAGCAGCAGCGACGTGCGTGCAGACCAGCCCCACTGCAAGGCCTGGGGAGATGCTGCTGGCAGGGCAGGGTTCTACAGGGTCCCAGCACCTTGGCTGCCCAGTGCCAAGGAGGATGCTCCCTTGTGCCTGCCTGACACCTCACTGGTGGACTCGGAGCCCTGGATGGAGGCATCCAGCCGTGGTGGCACTCCGAGGTGTGAGGACAAAGGCCCAGCTGGGCGGAGAGGCAAGGAAGGAAGCTGTGACTGGTGGGGCTGGGCAGGAGCCTCAGCCCACGGTGCAGGAAACGGGAAGGCTGGAGCAGCTCCTGGCTGGAATCTGTTGAGCTGGCACCTGCCGAAGGGCTTTCCTGGCGAGCTTGGGTGCGGCGGCGTGACGCAGCCTGCCATGCTCCCCCCTGCCCAGGCAGCCATGTGAAAACCTCTCCCAGCTCCTACTGCTGCCTTAAACCCATGCTGCTTCCCAGCCCCAGGGGCAGCAAGCTGGAGCTTGCAGGAGTGGCCGGGAGCCGGTCAGAGCTGCTTGCTGCCTCCAGCATCCTTCTGTGCCAGGTAGTGCCAAAGGTACTGTAGGGGATGCTGTGTCCGTCCGGGAATGGCAGTGGAGCCGAGGTACCTGGTGCTGTGCTCAGGGCAGGCTGGGCTCTGTGCATAGGCGAGAAGGGCCATGATGCTCGGTGGCAGGGATTTTCCAGCCCTCTGACAGTGCTGGGAATCTGGCTCGCTCCTTTTATGTTCATGTCGAACAGGGCTTGAGGAAATACTTGGTCTGAATCCAAACGCCTCGAGTTGTTCTGTGCTGGAGGAGCAGGAATGGCTGCGGCCTGCCCACGTCTGTCTGTCTGAGTGTCTGTCTGTTGATACCTGAGAGCTGTGTTCAGTGGTGCAGGGCCAGGGCCCTGCTCATCTTCACCAGAAATGGGGGTGTTTGGGGGTGGTCCAGGCATATCCCAGCCCCATTGCTGGGCTGGATGAAGGAAACAGGCAAGGCAGGAGCACAACATAGCTGGAAGATATAGGGGGCTCTCCCCGCCCCTGTGAAGGCTGGGAGCATGCCTGTGGTTTGCAGCTCATGGGGTGAGCTGTGGGCTGCATGACGGGCCCTGACTCACCCTGCTCGCTTCCTGCCCCAGGACCTTGGGGCCGGCTCCATGACCTCCTGCAGCTGAGCCAGCACAGCCTCTGCTGCTGGGCATCACCTCAGAACACCTGGGCTGTCCCCGGGCCACCTGTAGGGATGGTGCTGGCACTGTCCCTGTGGTGCTGGCACATCTCCCAGTAGTGTTGTGCTGCAGCTTGGTGCCTGGGGCAGGGCTCAGCTGCCAGAAGGAGAGAGAGGCTGTCTGGGATAACAAACTGGGGAACACAGGGAGCTCTGGGGGTCCGTGCATTGGGCTGCAGTGGCACAGTGCTGTGGAAGCTGCCCGGTAACGGAGTTAGGAGCTGGTCAGGGTGTGCCCAGTGGCCCTCTCCATGGCTCTCAGGGGCACAAGAGCATCACTCCATTTACTGCTGGTTTCCCTGACACTCTCTGTCCTGCAGCTGACTCCAGGTGGAAAGGCTGCCCAGGCTGGAGTGGGAGTGGGCGACTGGGTGCTGTACATTGACGGGGAGAGCACTGGCGCCATGACGCACATCGAGGCCCAGAACAGGATCCGCGCCTGCGGCGACAGGCTCTGCCTCACCCTGAGCAGGTAGGATGTGTGGATCCTGAAAACTTACGGTGCTGGTGCAGCTGGAACGAAACTGTGGCCCTCTACCCATCACCTCCCTGAGCCCAATGGCCCTGCTGCCATGAGGCAGCATCACTCATCTCCCACAGCCCTGGCTGGATCTGAGGGCTCTGCACGGCTGGATGGGGCTCATCCCATCTGCGGCAATCCCGGCTTTAAGCCATCACCTCTGACCGCGGGTTGGTGCTGCCTGGTTACAGTTCCATGGTGTCAGCATGCCAGCCATGATGGATGCTGGGCACGTGCAGCATCTGCCTCACTGTGTCCTCTCTTGCAGAGCCCAGAACCACCTGGGGAAGCCGCAGAAGGTAGGTGTTGCTCCAGCAGTGTTGGCAGCTGCTCAGCCCTGGGCTGGGGGTGGGGAAATCTCTGAGCTTACCCAGAGGAGCGGACTTTGCTCCTGGGGCCCAAGGGCTTCTTGGGGACCGGGTGTGTTTGGAAGGCTCGCAAATTCCCCACAGCTGCAGCACAGCCTTTGGGCCCCATGTTGGCTAGTGCTGGAGCTCTCTCTTGCATGGGGAGGCAGGGCTGGGGCCAGTGGCTCCTAGAGAGAAGCCACTTGCATGCTTTCTGCTTTGTGCCCTGGGATGGTTGTGAGCAGCATGAGTGCATGCAGAGCCCCACCACGGGGCACTTACTAATCCTCAGGCTGAGTTTGCAGCCTGGTGTCCCTGGGCTGGATGCTCTGCAGAGAGGGGACCTGGCTGGCAGAGCTGCACGTGCTGTCAGTGTCCATGTGTCACTGCGAGGCTCTGCGGGCAAGAATGGGTCCAGCATTCCCACCTGGCTGCCTGCTGTGCTGCCTGGCCCAGGGCTGCTCCTTGCATGCTGCTTGACGTGTGAGCCCGTGTCTGTGTGTTTTGTCTCGCTCAGGACTCACTCCCCTGCTCTGAGCCCCTGAAATATAACTTCGCTCCCAGCACCGCCCTCAACAAAACAGCTCGGCCCTTTGGGGCCGGCTCGCCTCCGAACCCACGGCCCGGGCTGGTGACGAAACCTGTGACGTACGTGCCCCTGGCACCCACCTGCACCCCCCAGCACAATGGGTATGTTGCTGTCCGTCCTGCTCCCCAAGAATACCAGGGAGCCCGCTGCCCGGCCCTGCTGCACCTTGCATGCCAGGCACCTGTGGGTGGGAGTGGGCAGTGGTGCCCGTGCTGAGGTGCTGAGACTGAACAACAGGACTGTCACATGTGGGGACACACACACATGTCTCTTCCTTGCTCAGGGCTGTGTCCTCCTGCACTGGCCTTTGGAAAGCCCTGGAGGACACGGCACAGCAGCTGGAGCAGGATGCTCGCTGCTATCTGTGCCAGCCCTGCAACAAGGGGCAGGAAGGCTGTGGCTGCAATCAGCAGCACCAGCCCAGGGCCATGACACAGGGCTGCTGGGACGTGCTGGGCAAAGGGAAGCCACAGAGCCCTGCACAGTGCTGCCCATGCCAGCCCTGAACCCTGTATGGAGGCCCCAGTCTGCACATTGTGTGCTCTGTTGCTGTGTGCCCAGCCTGCTGCCGCTCCTGCCCACAGGACCCTGGAGCTGGTCAATGGGGGACATGGCCCTGGCTGTTCTCTGCACCCAGGCCTGTTTTGGTGGGGCTGAGGATGGCATGATCAGGTCTGTTGCCCCTGCAGCACATTTTGCTCTCAGCCCTGGGTGAGATGGGTATGCGTCGCAGGGGCAAGGGGAGTGGTACAGGCTGTAGGTTAGCTCTGGAAACTGCTTGGGTTCTGTGGGTCTAATTTCACTTTCCTTCTCTTTCTTTCTTTTCTCCCTTTCTCTTTCCCTCTCTCCTACAGGTGCAGAGCCTTGACAAGTCAGTAAGCCTTTTGCCTGCTCTCTCTAGCCTTCCTGCATGCCTCTTGCCCTGTTAGTGGCCCACTGGTGCCCTGTTCTCCTGGGGCAGGGTTAGTTAGCCCAGGGGCTCAGTGTCCCCAGGCTGACAGCTCCTGGCTGCAAGCTGTCCTTAGCCTGAAGTGTAAGTGCTCCTGGTGCTGCTGACTGCAAGGACGTCAAGGGTGTCCTTACACCATGTCCCTCTCCAGCACAAGAAAGGCTGTGCTATGCACCCTTCTGTCAGCATCATTGGTGCTTATCAGGCACCATGCAGCTCACCAGTGTGTGATTTGGATCTTGGCTTATCCTTGCCCCATTCTCTCTCCTCCTGGCCTTTAGGGCTGGGCTCAAACTGCAGAGATGGGAAATCTGTCTTGAGAAGACATCCTTAATGGCCCCTTCCTTTGCTAATGGTGTGGGGTGGGGAGGAGGGCAACGTGTGATGTGTCAAATGTGTGCTGTTGTGCTACTGCTATGAGCTTGAAGAGTTGTGGGATGGCACCAGGGGGGATGCTGTGGGAATCCTTGTGGGTCTGTGGGGCAGTGGTGTGTACCGGTCCCTGTGCCATCAGGCTGGGGCAGAACAGTGCTGGCTGAGCGCCTGCCCCTGTTGCTCATAGGAAACCACAGGAGCACCCCAGTTCCCCCAAATATGACCCCAGCAAGTTGCATCTGATCGAGGACTCTGAGGACTGGCAGCCCCGCAACACCAGCACCCAGTCCCGCTCCTTCCTCAAACTGGCCCAGCTGACGGGCACAGACAGCTGTAAGTCCCTGCGGGTCTGGGGCTGCCTGTGGGTTCCTGGAGTCAACCTGGCTGTGGGGTGAGGTGTCGGTGCTCTGACTGCAGTGGCCCGGTGTGTGGCATGGGCCATGCGGGGGCACACGTGGTGCCCGGGGTGCTGGTGTGGGGGAAGCAGGGAGGGGTGCCCGTTCCTCATCCCTTCGTGCTGTGTGGGGCCTTGCTGCCGCCAACTGACTCTCTCTCCTCCTTTCTCCCCGCTGCCCTCAGTTGAGGACCACGAGGACGAGCTGGTTAGGAAGCCCAGGTAAGGGGCAGCACAGGGTGCACCACGGCTCCTGGCTATGGTGCTGCGGGGATGGGGCTCAGCCCCTCCCCCCCACTGTTGGCCTTACACTCATGGCTGGTGGCGAGTGCAGCTCCTGTCCTCTGCTGTCCTGTCCTGTCACCTCCTCCTCCCTGTCCCTCTCTGTCCTTTCACTCTCTAGAGCTGAGGTATTCATGGAGCTGCAGCACCCGCACTGCTCTCGCCTCTGTGATGGGCACCGCCAGCACTGGGCCACAGCTGTGTCCATCCTGTTATGAGGGTCCTGCTCGGGCACTGTGCTGCTGCTGTCCCCGATCTGGGCATCCCCAGCAGGACCCTGGGCACTGCTGGCACTGGGGAGGCCGAGCTGCAGATGCAGCAAGTTGATGGGGCCTGCTGGTACTGGTGTGGCCTGACTACTGCTGTTGGGAGGTACTGGGCTTTATTTGGGCCTTGGGTACAAGGTGCTGTGACTGTGGTGTGGGGCTGGAGGGGAGCTGGACTGGTGTGAATGCTGCTGTGTCACTATGGGGCTGGAGATGAGGCATGGGAGATGCTCCATGCTGTGTGCTGGTGATTTACCCTTGCGTCGCTGTTTTCTTGCCGCCACAGGGGTCCCCGTGTGTCATTTTGGGGTACAGAGGAGGAGTGGTGAGTGCTGGGCCGTTACAGGGATTCATGTGGGTTCTGCCCCATGCTGGCAGCTGGGCAGGGCCAAGTCCATGGTGCTAGCTGAGCGCCTGCCCCTGTTGCTCACAGGCAGTCCTTGCACCCCCCTGGCACCCCCGCGTGTGACCCGGGCAAGCTGCGGCTGATGGAGGACGCTGAGGACTGGCAGCCCCGCACCGGCACCTCCCAGTCCCGCTCCTTCCGCAAACTGGCCCGGCTGACGGGCACCGATGGCCGTAAGTCCCTGTCGCTGCCTGGAGCTGCCTGCTGCTGTGGGTCGAGGTGGCACCAGGCTGTGGCTGTGGTGGCCCCACGTTATCCCTGCGTTTGGTGCAGGCTGTGTGGGGCTGTGGGAGCCCTGAGTGTGCTGTGGGCCATGTGTGGGCACACGATGGTGCCCGGGGTGCTGGTGTGGGGGAAGCAGAGAGGGGTGCCGGATCCTCATCCCTTTGTGTGGGGCCGTGCTGCCGCCGACTGACTCTGTCTCCTCCTTTCTCCCCGCTGCACTCAGTTGAGGACCGCGAGGATGAGCTGGTTAGGAAGCCCAGGTAAGGAGCAGGCAGCTCCTGTCCTCTGCTGTCCTGTCCTGTCACCTCCTGCTCTCTGTCCCTCTCTGTCCTTTCCCTCTTTCTAGAGCTGAGGCGGTCATAGAGCCTCAGCACACCACCTCTTTGCTGAGCCACAGCTGTAGCCATCTCATTGTGATGGCCCTTCCCCAGGCACTGCAGTGCCTCTGTCAGCAGCCCATGTGCCCTGATGCTGGGCTGTCCCTGGCAGGACCCCGGGGACTGCTGGTGCTGGGGAGGTTGAACTGTACCAGTTCAACAGCATCTCGGACACGGCACGTTGATGGGGTCTGGTGGCATTGGCACAGACTGGCTGGGGATGTTGGGAGGTGTGCAGCAGCACTGGAAGCTCAGCCCATGGGGCTTTGTGGTGGATTTTATGGAGCAAGTGTTGCCGGCATTGTTGTTGGGCTCAGAGGTCGGCGGGGCTGAGCATAAGCTGTAGGAAATGCCACGTGCCAGCGATTTACCATTGTGCCGCCATTTTCTTGCACTGCAGAGATGCCCGCGCGTCCTTCTGTGGTACAGAGGAGCAGCGGTGAGTGTTGGGCTGTGGCTGGGGTTGGTGTGTGTTGGGCACTCAGGCAGTGCTGCCCCATGCTGGCAGCTGAGCGGGACCACAGTCAGGTCAGTGCCAGCTGAGTGCCTGCCTGTCACTCGCAGGCAGCCCCCGCCCCACGTGGAGCCCCCCAGCACCCCCGCGTGTGACCCGGGCAAGCTGCGGCTGATGGAGGATGCTGAGGGCTGGCAGCCCCGCACCGGCACCTCCCAGTCCCGCTCCTTCCGCAAACTGGCCCGGCTGACGGGCACCGATGGCCGCTGTAAGTCCCTGCGGGTCTGGGGTTGCATGGAGCTGCTTGCTGTTGCGGGTTGAGTTGATTCCAGCCTGTGGCTGTGATGGCCCTACGTTATCCCTGCATGCAGTGTGGGTCTGTGGAAGCCCTGAGTGTGCCGTGCGCTGTGTGTGGACATAGAGTACTGCCTGGGGTGCTGGTGTGGGGGAAGCAGAGAGGGGTGCCTGGTCCTCATCCCTTTGTGCTGTGTGGGCCCGTGCTGCTGCCAACTGACTCTGTCTCCTCCTTTCTCCCTTCTGCACTCAGTTGAGGACCACGAGGACGAGCTGGTTAGGAAGCCCAGGTAAGGAGCAGGCAGCTCCTGTTCTCTGCTGTCCTGTCCTGTCACTTCCTGCTCTCTGTCCCTCTCTGTCCTTTCCCTCTTTCTAGAGCTGAGGCAGTTACTCATTGTGATGGTCCTGCCTAGGCATCACATTGGTACTGTCCCCTGCTGCTGTGCCCTGATGCTGGACTGTCCCCAGTCTGGGCATCCCTGGCAGGACCCTGGGCATTGCTGGCATCAGGGAGGCTGCACTGCATCGTGGCATCCCAGACACAGTGGGTTGCTGGGGTCTGGTGGTACTGGCAAAGCCAGGGCAGCACTGGGACCTCATGCAGGGGAGCCTGTGGGGCTTTGTGGTGGCTGATTTGGTCCAAGTGCTGCCAGCATCTTTACTGGGGTCAGGCTTTCATGGAGCTGGGGGTCAGCTCTGCAGAGTTCTCCACACAGTGTGCCAGTGATTTACCATTTTGCCACCATTTCCTTGCACTGTAGGGATGCCCGCAGGTCGTTCTGTGGTACAGAGGAGCAGTGGTGAGTGCTGGGCTGTGGCAGGGGTTGGCATGTGCTGGGCCCTCAGGCAGTGCTGCCCCATGCCGCTAGGTGGGCAGTGCAGGGTCAGATCTGTGCCAGCTGAGCTCCCGCCCCTGTCACTCACAGGCAGCCCCCGCCCCACGTGGAGCCCCCCACAACCCCCGCGTGTGACCCGGGCAAGTTGCGTCTGTTTGAGGACGCTGAGGACTGGCAGCCCCGCACCGGCACCTCCCAGTCCCGCTCCTTCCGCAAACTGGCCCGGCTGACGGGCACTGATGGCTGTAAGTCCCTTTGGGTTTCCAGAGATGGCTCTGGCTGTGGGTTGAGGTGGCACGTGGTTGTGACCATGGTGGCCCCTTCTTGTTCCTGTACTTGCCATTTGTGGGCCGTGGTGGAGCCTGGGGTATTGGTTTTGGGGTTGAGAGGGAGTGGGTGCCCAGTCCTCATTCCTTTGTGCTGTGCTGGGCTGTGCTGCCATGAACTGACTCTTTCTCCTCCTTTCTCCCTGCTGTGCTCAGTGGAAGATGTGTTTGTTAAGAATCCCAGGTAAGGGAATGTGAGGCGCAGCATGAGCTCTGGGCTGCATGTCCTGGGCAGGGCTGTGGGCACTGCTGGCACTGAGCTGGGGCAGTTGAGCTGTACTCTTGGGGTGAGCAGGAGTGTGGTGGCACTGGCAGACCTCGCTGTGGGTGTTGGAAGGCACTGGGCAGCGCTGTAATAGGGTGCTGAAACCCACGGGGCTGCAGGGGCCAGACAGTGCTGCTGTGTGCTCCTGGTTGCTCTGTGGGGCTGGGCTGTGTGAGGAATGGAGCGGGGGCTGTGGGGGAAGGCTGTATCCCTCTGAGCTGGGACAGCATCTGAGTGCTCCTGTTGGGGGCAGCTCTTCTGCCTTCCCCTTCTGCAAACCCTCCTGCTTTGGATCAGTGAGTGAGTGCAGGAGATGGGCAGCTGCCTGGGAGTGCTGCTGTTGTCACCAGGGGCTGGGGATAAGGCACAGGGAACACTATGCCAAGTGCCAGAGATTCACCATTGTGCTGCCATTTTGTCACTGCAGCAGGGATGCCCGTGGGTCGTTCTGTGGTACAGAGGAGCAGTGGTGAGTGCTGGGCTGTGGCAGGAGTCAGTGTGGGCCGGGGCCTTGGCCATGGCTGCCCCATGCTGGCAGCTGGGCAGGGCCAGGTCCATGTCGGTGCCAGCTGAGCTCCTGCCCCTGTCACTCGCAGGCAGCCCCCGCCCCACGTGGAGCCCCCCAGCAGCCCCGCGTGTGACCCGGGCAAGCTGCGGCTGATGGAGGACGCTGAGGACTGGCAGCCCCGCACCGGCACCTCCCAGTCCCGCTCCTTCCGCAAACTGGCCCGGCTGACGGGCACCGATGGCCGTAAGTCCCTGTCGCTGCCTGGAGCTGCCTGCTGCTGTGGGTCGAGGTGGCACCGGGCTGTGGCTGTGGTGGCCCCACGTTATCCCTGCATTTGGTGCAGGTTGTGTGGGGCTGTGGGAGCCCTGAGTGTGCTGTGGGCCGTGTGTGGGCACACGATGGTGCCCGGGGTGCTGGTGTGGGGGAAGCAGAGAGGGGTGCCGGGTCCTCATCCCTTTATGCTGTGTGGGGCCGTGCTGCCGCCGACTGACTCTGTCTCCTCCTTTCTCCCCGCTGCACTCAGTTGAGGACCGCGAGGATGAGCTGGTTAGGAAGCCCAGGTAAGGAGCAGGCAGCTCCTGTCCTCTGCTGTCCTGTCCTGCCACCTGCTCTCTGTCCCTCTCTGTCCTTTCCCTCTTTCTAGAGCTGAGGTGGTCATAGAGCCTCAGCACCTGCACTGAGCTCACCTCATGCAATGGGCACCACTGGCGCTGGGCCACAGCTGTGACCATCTTATTGTGAGGGTCCTGCCCGGGCACCACGTTGGAACTGTCCCCTGCGCTGTGCCCTGATGCTGGGCTGTCCCCAGTATGGGTGACCCTGGCAGGACCCTGTGCACTGCTAGCGGTAGGAGGCTGCACTGCACTTCAGTGTCCTGACACAAAGAGTCAGTGCTGTCTGGTGGCATTGGCACAGCCTGGCTGTGGGCATCGGGAGATCCAGGACAGTGCCGACACCTCAGCATGAGAGGCAGCAGTACTGGGGTGGGACTGCAGGGGAGCTGGGAGCTGGAGGGAGCAAATTCTGCTGGCATAACTGTGGGGCTGGGGATAAGCCGTGGGGAATGCTCCGTGCTGTGTGCCCATGATTTATCCTTGTGCCGCCGTTTTCTCTACACCACAGAAGTCCCCATGTATCATTCTGTGGGACGGAGGAGCCGCGGTGAGTCTGTGCTGGGGGTCTGTGCATACGAAGCCCTCGGGCAGTTCTGCCATCTGGACAGGGCCAGGGTCAGGTCAGTGCCAGCTGAGTGCCTGCCTGTCACTCGCAGGCAGCCCCCGCCCCACGTGGAGCCCCCCAGCACCCCCGCGTGTGACCCGGGCAAGCTGCGGCTGATGGAGGACGCTGAGGACTGGCAGCCCCGCACCGGCACCTCCCAGTCCCGCTCCTTCCGCAAACTGGCCCGGCTGACGGGCACTGATGGCCGTAAGTCCCTGCAGGTCTGGGGCTGCCTGGAGCTGCCTGCTCTTGTGGGATGAGGTGGCATCGGGCTGTGGCCGTGGTGTTCCTGTGTTGTTTGTGTGTTGGCCGTGTGTGTGTGGTTCCCCGGGGTGCTGGTGTGGGGGAAGCAGGGAGGGGTGCCCACTCCTCGTCCCTTTGCGCTGTGTGGGGCCATGCTGCTGCCGACTGACTGTCTCCTCCTTTCTCCCCGCTGCATTCAGTGGAAGATGATGATGTATTTATTAAAAAGCCCAGGTAAGGGGGGTGCAAGCACAGATTCCTGGGCTGTATGTCCAGGCCTGTGGGCACTGCTGGCACTGCGCTGGGGAGGTTGAGCTGCACTGTGGTCTCTTGGGCAGCTGGGGTGAGGAGGAGTGTGCTGACACTGGCAGACCTTGCTGGGGGTGTTGGGAAGTGCTATGCATCTTTTAGAGATCAGGTGGGTGAGCTCCTGAGGCTCAAGGCCCTGCATGGAAGCAAGGAAGGACACAGGCTAGGGCTGCGGCACAGCTTTGCCTTTCCACCAGCCCTCCTGCCTTCGTGCCGTGACCACTCAGTTCCAGATCTGCCTGGTTTACTCTGTTGCAATTAAACACTTGTGTTTAATAGTTTAATAGCTAGCTCCTTCTTGTCCTTGCCCTCAAGAGGCACAAAGGCACTGGCTTTCCATCTGACACTGTCCTTGCCCCTCTGGGTGCTGCTTGCCCTGGCTTCTTACAAGTCCAGTGCTGGCAGGGTGCAGGGGGGCACAGAGTTTGCCCCCTGTGGTACCAACACATCCCTGCCCTTCCTGGCTCTGCTGGAGCTGGCCCAGGGCTCCCCACACTACCAGATGCTGTGTGTGAGGTGGAGATGTGCCTGGACACTGTCACATTGGAGCAAGTAGCAGTGTGTGTGATGCCCCAGGTCCTTGGCCAGCCCACAGCACCTCAGCATTATGGCACAGTGGTCCTGTGCTCCCAGCCTGCTGGGTGCCACAGACCTGGGGGTGCTGCAGGGCTGAAGGTGCTTGGCTTGATGCGCAGCACCAAACTAGCTACTGGCTGGGCATGTGGGCTTGGCCAGCTCCTGGCTGCAGAGTGGGGGTCCTGCCTGCATGCAGAAGCCAGCCTGCATCTTGGGGGTGAGTGTGGCCAGCAGGATTAACTGGTTGTTTTGTAGCCAGGTCTCTGTACCGGACCCGTCCCCGGGAGCAGCAATGAAGACAGAACCAGGATTGGGTGAGAAAAAAATGTTTTCTCTGAGTTTGGGGCAAGGGGAGTGGGGATATGGGTAGGGCTGGTACTGGTGGATGCATCTTGCTTACCAGTGGATACAAATGGCTTGGGAACATCATTCAAGAAGCTTCTGTTTGTGCAGCCCCCAGGACCCCTGCTGCCACTCCTGGCCCTACCAGCCGCCCACCCTGGGCTGTGGACCCCTCATTTGCTGAGCGCTATGCCCCAGACAAGACGAGCACAGTGCTGAGCAAGCACAGCCAGCCGGCCACGCCGACCCCCATGCAGAACCGCAGCTCCATCGTGCAGGCAGCCCAGCAGGCTCCTGAGGGCCCTGGCCGCACACCCCTCTGCTACAAGTGCAACAAGATCATCAGGTGAGCCCTGGCCCCTGCAGTCCTGCCGCCGTGCTGGGCACTGCCAGGCCCTGCTGTGGCTGATGTGGCTCTGTCCCACCACAGAGGACGCTACCTTGTGGCATTGGGACACTATTACCACCCCGAGGAGTTCACCTGCTGCCAGTGCAGGAAGGTGCTGGATGAGGGTGGTTTCTTTGAGGAAAAGGGCTCCATCTTCTGCCCCAAGTGCTACGACACGCGCTATGCGCCCAGCTGTGCTAAGTGCAAGAAGAAGATCACTGGGGTGAGTGACCCTCAGTCTGCCCTGCACCTCCCATCCCTGCACCCTGCTTACCCATGTGTCCCCAGCTCTGTCCCTTCTTGTCTGTCGCAGGGATCTCCTGTTCCTTTCAACCTTCTGTGGGGGTTCCCTGTGGTGCGGGGTGCTCCCTCCTGGCTGATAGCGGTTCTCTTCCAGGAGGTCATGCATGCGCTGAAGATGACCTGGCATGTGCAGTGCTTCACCTGCGCAGCCTGCAAAACTCCCATCCGCAACCGTGCCTTTTACATGGAGGAGGGACAGCCCTACTGCGAGAGAGGTAGGGCCAGGGGAGGACCCACGTCACCCCACACAGCCCCGGGGTACTGCCCACTGGTTGGACTGAGGATTGAATTGCTGTGGAGCTCTCCCCAGGATTCAGGGAAGGGAGGGGACCCCCACGAACCCTCCATCCCTATCCTCCCTGGTGCTGGGTGGTGCCATTGCTGGCGTGTTGCCATAGTGATGATGGATGGTTTACATCAAATGTGAATGCTGCATCCTGGCTGGGGAGATTCACTTCTTCCCTGTGACCCAGTGGTGGCAAGGGCCCCCCTTCCCCAAGTGCCCAGTGCTTTCTTGTGCTTCAAGTCCTGCCCCTCTCCAAAGCTGGAAGCAAGTTGTCCCAGGACTGTGCTGGGGTTGCAGTCTTGGAGGAACCACTGACCTGTGCTCTGCCTATGCTCACAGACTATGAGAAGATGTTTGGCACCAAGTGTCGTGGCTGTGACTTCAAGATTGATGCTGGGGACCGGTTCCTGGAGGCGCTGGGCTTCAGCTGGCATGACACTTGCTTCGTCTGTGCGGTGAGCCATGTGCCTACCTGTTTCTCCCTGCTGTGAGCTGTGTCTCACACGGGGTGCATGCTGCCATCAGGTTTTCCCCACCTGGCTGTCCTGGTGGCTCAGCCTGCTGCTCCCTGACATCTGTTCTGGGCTGGTGGCTGGGGCTCAGCATGGGGGGGGACACTGGGGGCTGGCTCAGCCCTCCTGACTGCCTGCGCTCTCCTCCCCAGATCTGCCAGACCAATCTGGAAGGGAAGACATTCTACTCCAAGAAGGACAAGCCGCTGTGCAAGAGCCATGCTTTCTCCCACGTGTGAGGGGCAAGAGTTCAGCTGTGCCCATGCATGCCCCTGCTCCTGCATGCTCCTTTCCCACCCCTTCCCCTGCCCCAGGGAGCCAGGCTGAGACTTCACCCCTTCCCCTTGCTCCTGCCTCTTTCCTGGCAACTCCTGGCCAGGCCCTGACAGAAGCAGCCCTGGCCCCTTCCATCTGGCTGGCTTCTTTTGTGCTCCTCTAGCTGACACAGGAGCCTGGGGAAGGGGATGCCACAGAGGTCTCCCTGAAGCTGCTCAGCACAATGGTTGTGGCCGTGCTGAGACTGTAGCTGGGGAGGGTCTGGTTGCAGCAGAGCTGCTCCTTTGCTTTGATGGGGCCCAGCTGCCTTGGCACTCAGCACCAGGGCAGGGATGCTCCTAGCCCCCAGCCCCTGGCAGACTCTTTCCTCACCTCCCCAGCTTCATACTCAGCGCATGGGGCTTGAGCACTGGCTCTTCTCCTCCTGCCCACAGTGACCCCACAGCCCAGCAGACTGCTGCCATGGTTTCCTACCCATCCCCACATGGCTGCATGCCATAGAGCTGGGGGGACCGTGTGGCTGTCTAGTGGCAGCACTGCCGTGCCATGGAGCAGGACTGTGTGCCATGCCTGCCCTGGCTGTGGGCTGGGAGTGCACACCAGCCTCTGGCTAATGGGTTCCCATCAGGCTTGAAAACTGCTTCCTACCAAAGAGCGTGTGCCACCGCTATCCCAGCACTGTAAATGCCTCTCCCAAACCCCCACTCTCCGGTTGGGCTGCATTTGATGTAGCCACGGTGCTTTTAGTGCCTTGAATAAACACTTTTTTGCGAGTGCCCACTGTTTGGGGACTGTGGTTTTGCAAAGCGTGGTGTGGTGGAGGTCAGGAAGGTCACACGAGGCCCTCACCCTGCTCCTGCCTGGAGCCCTGCCCTGTGGCCTGACTCAGCTCCACTGAGCTACTACGGAAAGCTTTGTTTCCTAGAGTTTCTCCTCCTTTGGCCCTTGGCAGAACCCGTGCCCCTGGGTTGCCCTTGCCTGGTTTTAGCAAGCAGAGAGCAGGGAGGCAGTAATTAATCCAAAGGGCAGAGCAACAACAGTGCTGAGCGAGAGATGATGCTGAGCTGTGACCCCACAAGGGCATCCCCACTTACCCAGCATTGTCCCCATATCCGTGCCGTGCCTCAGTGCCCATGCAGGGGTCGGGTCACCGGCACGAGCAGCTCGAGCACAGCCGTTCTGGCCGTGCTTCGGCGTAGTGCAGCCAACCGTCCGCCTGTTAGCACAGCTGCTGTCCCGAAGGACAGGCGCGAGGCACCGCCGCCCTGGAGCGGGTTCTGGAGCAGTGGATGTGGGGACGGCCGCTCCCAGCGCTCCGATCTGACAGCTGTAGCGGTCAGTAATAACGTGATGAGCAGCGGTAAGGAAAATCGCCTCGCTCATCCGTTGGAACGTTCTGCTAGGGGCAGGAGCGGCTGCGGGAGCGGAACCCCAGCTCGCCCTTCTGCGAGTGGCAAAGTCGTCCCCCCCGCACCCGGCGGCGGCTCTGCCCTTCCGCCACCTCGCCGCCTGCTGCTCCCTCCTGACGGCCTCTGCGAGCGGTGCCGAGCGGCCCCCGCCCTCACGGCGCACAGGAAGGAGGGTCGCGGGTGGGCTGCGGAGGTGGAGCCCGGGGAGGGGCCGCGCCGCTCCGCTCCGAGAACAAAGCCCCGCGGCTCCCCGCGCCGCCCCCACCCCCGGGGCAGCCGAGCCGCTCGCGGGGCGGCCTCGGTCGGCAGCTGCTCGACAGCTGCTGCCCAGCTCCCTCAGCCTCGCAGGGCGGCTCCGGCTCGGGAACTGCTGCGAGCAGGGCGTGGGCAGGGAGCAGCGCTGCGCTGCGTCCCGCTGCGCTTAGGGGCGCGGGCTGCGCCCACGGGCACGGTGCCCTGACCTGCAAGGATCGGGACCCCGTAGTTCCCTGCTCGGGCTTCTGCGAGTACGGCACCTGCCTGGGATGGGGACGTGGGACGGGCAGCGTGAGGCCGTGTCTATCCCCCACAGAAGGATGCTGATCCGTGTGGGAGCAAATGGAGACCACTACACCCCGGAACCACAGACGGGGTCCGCTTGGAAGGAACTTTATGGGTTCACGCAGAGCCACAACCTGGGGGGTGTCGAGGGCTGGAGGGGCCCAGGGTTGGTTGGGAGCAGAGGGACACATCTGACAGCAGCTGGAATGAGAGAGGTCCCCTTCGTCCTATTGGCAACCCCACAAAGGCTGGGCCCGAAGCAGCGAGGGCACAACGGTGCGCACGGGGCAGAGGCGGCAGAGCGGGGTCTTTGGAGGTGAAAGGTCCGGGGCTGTGGGTACCCGGACTGCGGGAAGTTGAGGTCACGGGGATCCCAGGGCAGAGCGGGATCGAGGGCGCATCCGCGGAATTCGGGGTGCCCAGAGGGAGCGCAGCCGGGATTTGGGGCCGGGGGTGCAGAGCAGCTCCTCTGGTCGAGCTCAGCACCCCGCTCCAGGAGCTCTGCCCCGCGGCGGGTGCTGGTGGGGGTGCCCCAGGGGTCGCCCCGGGGGAGCAGCGGGGGCCGGGACGGGGGCGGGGGCCGGGGCGGGGGCCGGGGCGGAGGGGGGGCCGCCGTTCGCGGCGCTAGGACCGGGCGCGGCGGCGGGCGGAGCCTCCCCGCCGCTCGCCCCTCCGCCCGGCCGCTGCGGCAGTGTCTCGGAGGCGGGCAGGCGGCCGGTCCCTCCGGTCCCCCGGCAGCATCCCGGCCTCGCCATGGCTGGCGTCGGCTTCGCGGCGCACCGCCTGGAGCTGCTCGCCTCCTACCAGGACGTGATCGGCGAGGACAGCCCCACCGACTGGTGAGCGCGCCCGCCGCCGCCGCCGCCCCTTTGTCCCCGCCGCCCGGGGCCCTTTGTGCGCGGAGCCGCCCGGTGCACCGAGCGCGCCGCCGCCGCCACTACCGGGACCGCGCCCCGCGCTGCGCCCCCCGCGCCGCCCCGCCGCCCCCCGCCACCTGCGCCGGGCCCGGAGCCCCGGCACACAAAGGCGGGCGGGGCCGGCGGGACGGCGGAGGGGGTGTGCCCGGCCCGCCGCCCCCGGTGCCCGCACCTGCCCGCCGCATCGCACCGCACCGCACCGGGCCGGGGCGCGGCCCCGCTTTGTCTGCGCCGGGCGGCACGTGGGGGCACCGGGGGCCCCGCTCCGAGCCCCCAATCTCCCTCCTCCCGGCGGCACCGCGCGTGGGGAGCGGCGGGTGGGAAGGGCCAGGGGGACCTTCGGTGCTGGGCCCGGTACTGGGATGCGGCGGAGTTTTGCCATTGTCTGGAACCGGTGGTGGGTTGGGGGGGACGGGGAGCCCTTAGCTTGGTCCCGGCAAAGCCAGGCCCGCAGCTGTGAGGGAACGGGGGGCCCTGCTGCTCCTGGTTCCTGCAGCCTCTGGGGATTTCTGGGTGCCTGGTCCCCGGGAGGGCCATGCGGGGTGCCCTGGGTCTGGGATGCGGTGGGCAGGAGTAGGGGATGGGGGCACCCTGGGGTGTTCCACCTGCAGCCCAATCCCTCTGGCATCCTGTGCTGGGGGCACGGTGGTTCCAGGCTACAATGCAGCTTTGCTATGGGAGCAAATCCCACCACAGCCCCACTGCTGCCATCCCCCAGCTCCCAGCTGCCCTCCAGGACCCTCTGTCCTTGTCCCCTGGGTGCTCGCGTGGGGGTGCTGTGGGCACCCCAGAAACTGGTACTGGTGCATGCCATGCGTGCTGAGCTCCTGCCAGGCCGCGCGCGCTCTCCTGTTGGGTGTCCACTGGTGTGGGCCCGAGCATTGCCCCCTCCCCACCAGTCCCACTTTCCAGGTCCCCGCAGCTCTGCTTGCGGCACAGTGGGTGAGTGCGGTGCATGTCGGTGGCCAGGAGGCAGCTGTCAGCCCAGGGTACATCTGGCTTCCCAGCATCCGCTGCAAAGCTCCCCGCAGAAGCTGCTGAGAGCAGCAGAATCGGCTCCTGGGAAGGCGAGCGCTGGGAGTGGGCCACCCCTCTTCTAGCACCGAACCCCACAGCTCCTTTGTTGTGGCTGAGCCCCATGCTCCCCATCTCCTCCAGTCCACCATCACCAGTGGTGCTCGGTGCCAGCAGCAGCAGCATCCTTACTGCAGGGCCTAGTGCCCACCCTCAGTGCGGGATGGGGAGCAGTGCTGGGGGACCATATGCCCATCGTGGCTGGTGGGACTGTCCCCAGATGTTGGCACTGGGCAGGGTGAGCTGGGGCTGTGAGGACACCGTGTTGGAGTGCATTCTAGGCTGGCTCGGGGGATGCCGGGATCCCCATGGCCACGGGATGTTTAGTCTGGGATTTCCCCCGCCCCAGCCCAGTCCTGGAGGGTCCGAGGCTCCCCTCCCCCTCCCCAGCCTCGCGGAGGCTGCTGGGGCCCATTACTCGATAGGAAAGGAATTTGGTGCTGCTTTCTGAGCACGCTGACTCCCTGGAGCTCGCAGCCACATTGGAAACACATGTGCCCGGGTTGGGACAGGCAGAACAGGGCACCCCCCCATTTCTGACCCCACACAGGGGGCAGGCAGCTGCTGGAGAACCGCTGTGGTCTGGCTCATAGCAATAGGGGCTGCAGAAGGGCAGTGGCTCTGCCCTCTTGGCAGTGATGGGGAGATTCCAGTCACGAGCATCCCTGCTCCTTGCCTGTCCCTACATCACCCATGGGTGATCTCAAAGCTCAGGTGCTGGGGAAGCTGCATGGGAGGATGGAAGCATGGAAGGAGGTGGTCCATAGGGTCATGGTGCTGTTGGTCCCTGCTCATGGTGATGCTCTAGGCTCTGTGCAGGGCTCGGGACACTGGAACTGTCCCTCCCAATGCAGGAACAGGGGCTGTTCTGAGGGCAGTGCCCACAGTGCTGAGCCACAGGAACACCTCTGGGTGCCAGCAGCAGCGTTGTGCTCGGGGTGCTGCCCTGTGTGGGAGAGGCTGGGGGTGGGCAGCAGGCAGCGGGTGCCCTGGCTGCTCTGCCTTGGCTATGCCCTACTTTTGCATCCTGTTCATTCTGCTTTATGAACCCCACGGTCCTGCCTGCAGCCCCCCACATTGCAGCCCTGTCCCTGGGGGAATAGAGCAGGGCCAGGGCTGGAGCTGCCACCTTTTCCAGTGCTGTGAAGCCGCCCTGCTGCCTCCAGCCTGGGAGCCGCGCTGGCTCAGGCGGCCGATTAGCGGGATTTGGATGTGCGGATTAAAGTCAATCTTGTTGGTGCAATTATCTGTGGCTCACTGCAAGAGCAGGGCTGGAGGGAGATCAGGGGCTGTGGGTGCTGCAGGGCGGAGGTAGCCTTGTTTCCCCCCCTTTGTTAGGCAAGGCCCTAAATTTCCATTATTTCTCAGCTGGAAGGAGGCAGCCGAGGCCCAGGATGGAGCTGTGTGGCTCCAGTGTGGGGCTCTGCCCATGGGGGGCACCCGTTTCCCATTCCTGCTCCCATCTCTGCTTTCCCTCACCACTTCCACATCCCATCCCCACTCCCCATCTCCCATCCCCGCTTCCCCATCCCCTTCCTGGAAGCCACCAACTCCGGTGGGCTCCTCCTTCCCCAGCACCGCAGGGATTTTGGCTCTCCGTTGCTGCTGATCGGCAGAGCTGCCCGCCCACTCGGCGAAAGGATTATTTGGGGGGGGAAGGAAGAGGGGGAGTCCAGCATGGTTGGCCCCGGCCCCCCGGGCACAGCGCGTGACGGTGGTGGGTTTGGGTGCCCGCCAGGTCCCCGCTGCCTGCCTGCCTCCCCCGCTCCCCTCCACTAATCACCTCGTCATCGGGGCGAGCTGCATCCCAGCTGGGATGGGGGGTTGCCATAGTGACGGAGGATGCTGGTTGCCTAGCAACAGCCATCCCCTCGCCCACCCGCCCTGGACCAATTCAGGGCACAGCGTTCTCCCCCCACGTTGCCGCCTACCCACACTTGGGGACGTGCACGGGGTCTTATGGAGCCCCAGGTGGGCTCACTGGGGCACAGCGGGGGTGCGAGGGGGTTTTCCCAGCTGCAGGGAATGGTTTCCAAGGAACAGTCTCCATGACGGCCCCAGCACACCCCGGCGGCACATTGATTTGCTGCCGCTGGAGCTCTGGCGTCCTCCCCCGGCCTGGTGCCTGGCGGGCCGGTGGCTCACGCAGCCAGGAACGTGAGCAGCCCCATGCAGGTGCGGGGCTGTCCCCATAGCCAGCTGACCCTATGGGATTGCGGGACAGGGTTGGGTGCGTGGGCAGTTGGGAACACTGCGTCATGCAGGGTGAGTGCGACAGCACCCAACTGGTCCTCGTACCCAAGTGACCCCTTTGTCCCTGTCCTTGGAACCTCACTCCATAGCTGTGAGCTGTGGGGTGGAGAGGAGTGCCCTGCCCCACATTCTGCGTGCAGGAGAAGTGCTTTGTGCTATGGAGTCTGTGCTGGATCCTGTGGTGGATTAAGGGAACTTTGGCACTGCCACTGGTCCCCGGACCCTGCCCTGGTCTCAGTGTCAGCAACAGAAAGGGAGGTGGGGAGGCTGCCTCGTGTTGTGCAGAGCCATTTTCACCCCCTGCACCCCCCCAGGGCCCTCTACACATACGAGGATGGCTCCGATGACCTGAAGCTGGCAGCATCAGGAGGTAAGGTCTTGTCACCCAACCCCCGTCTCGGCCAGGGCTCCTGGTGCAGGGCTGCCATGTGCTAAGAGTACTGTGCACTGTGCTAGGAGGGGGTCTGCTGGAACTCTCTGGGCACTTTGAGATCCAGAAGGTGATGTACGGCTTCTGCAGTGTCAAGGAGCCCCAGGCCGTGCTCCCCAAATATGTCCTCGTCAATTGGGTGAGTTGGGCAGCATGGGGACACCTCCTGCTGAACCTGGGGTCCTGTGCTGGGGCCATTGCAGAGAGGCACAAAAGAGTGGCCACAGGGGATGCAGGTTGTCAGCGAGGTGGTGGGGGCACACACCCCCTGGCTCAGCATCCCCCTGGCTGATGTAGGTGGGTGAGGATGTGCCTGACGCCCGCAAGTGTGCCTGTGCCAGCCACGTGGCCAAGATCGCAGAGTTCTTCCAGGTGGGTAATGGCAGGGATGGGGACTGGGCATGGTGGGGGGAATCTCTGATGGGTTTTGCCCCTGTCACCTCCAGGGTGTAGATGTTATCGTCAATGCCAGCAGCGTGGAAGACATTGACCCGGGGGCCATCGGGCAGCGGCTCTCCAACGGTCTGGCACGTGTCTCCAGCCCCGTGCTGCACCGCCTACGGCTGCGCGAGGACGAGAATGCCGAGCCCGTGGTAATGTCCCCATGGCCACGTCCCTATGGCCAGGGTGTCCCCCGTGTTGATCCCAGCCTTGTCCCTGCCATCCTCTGACTCTGCTTCGTCTCAGGGCACGACCTACCAGAAAACTGACGCCACCGTGGAGATGAAACGGCTCAACCGGGAGCAGTTCTGGGAACAAGCCAAGGTGGGACAGCGAGGGATGGGCAGAGGGCACGGGGTGTCCCTGGAATAGGCTGATGACCCCATGTCCCATCCCTGCAGAAAGAGGAGGAGTTGCGCAAGGAGGAGGAGAGGAAAAAGGCGCTGGATGCGCGGCTGCGGTTTGAGCAGGAGCGCATGGAGCAGGAGCGGCTGGAGCAGGAGGAGCGCGAGAGGCGCTACCGGGAGCGTGAGGAGCAGATCGAGGAGCACAGGCATGGGGTGGACCTGGGGTGTGGGGTGTCAGGGGTGCTAGGGGTTGGGGGGAGCCGCGCTCAGCTCTGCTCTTGACCCCATCGCAGGAGGAAGCAGCAGAGCATGGAGGCGGAGGAGGCCAGGCAGCGTCTGAAGGAGCAGTCCATCTTTGTAAGTGCCATGTGGAGCTGGGAACCGGGTGGTGGTGCTGGGGGTGGTGGTGTCAGGGGTGATGGTGCCGGGGTGATGATGTCGTATCTTTGCAGGGGGAGCAGCAAGAGGAGGATGACAGGCAGCAGCTCCGGAAATCAGAGTCAGAGGTGGAGGTGAGCTCAGAACTGTTTGGGACCTGGTGTGGGGCAGCCCCCTACTGCCCGGTCGGGGGGTCCCAGCCTTACTACCCCTGCAGGAGGCCGCTGCCATCATTGCCCAGCGACCCGACAACCCCCGGGAGTTCTTCAAGCAGCAGGAGCGGGTGGCATCGGGCAGCAGTGACGCCATCTCTCCAGGCAGCCATAGGACAGGTGAGGGGCTGAGGGGCACAGCGGGGTGCAGTACACGTGAGTTCAGTGCCACTGTGACACTCGCAGATCATCCACAGAGGGGTGGGTGTCCTCTGCTGCCACTTTTTCTGTGGTTCTGCGTACTGGGAGGACTGCGGTCATTCTGCTTGGCACCACCACTGCCATAACTCCTTGGGTGGGCCTGCGCCTGCTGCCACTGGGATAGGGCTACAGCTGCAAAGAGACGGTCCTGCAATGGGGGAGCTCAGACTGCTCATGGCTGGGTGCCCTCTGCACCTCTTGGCAGCATGGTCTAGCTGTGGTGGCATCTTGGGGACTGGGTGCTGGCTTGGGAAGGAAGCTTTGACAGCTGAAAAGAGCAGAGGTGGGGCTGGGGCTGTGTGACTGCAGTGGGGCTGATGTGGGGCACCTGGTGTGCCCCTGGCTGGATGCATGTGGCACACATTGTGTACGTGCCCAAGGGTCCCCGGTGCCAGGGTGACTGTACGCAGTGGGGCAGGATGCCCATTCTGGGTCTGGCGGTACCTGCTGGCCCTGGCAGCAGGACCCTCTGCAGAACCCTGGCTGTAGGGTGGAGTGGCTGGTGGAGGGTGCTGGGCTGCCCCACAGTGCAGGGTGCAGCCCTGGGGCTCTGCTTGCAGCTCTGTGGCCTGGCTGTTCTGGTGGGTGCCTCTGCCATGGGGACACGCTGTGGGGCTGTGCTGTGGATCACGCTGTGGGCTGTACTGTGGGCTGTGCTGGGGTGGAGCTGTGCTGAGTGTTCCTGCTGTGGGGCTGTGCTGTGGGGTCATGCCTTGGAGCAACACTATGGGGCTGTGCCTTGGGGCAGCACTGTGTGTTTTGCTGTGGGTTGTGCTGTGGGTTCCTGCTGTAGGGATGCGCTGTGCCTGAGCAGACAGATGGCCCCGAGGCTGTGTCTTGGCCCCTTTGCCCACCCGGCCTTGGTGCTGCCTCCCGTCCTGCCGTCCTTCTGTCCTGCCGTCCTGCTGTTCTGCCGTCCTGCTGTCAGTGCTGCTTCCCTGCCGTCCTCCCCCATCCCGGTGCCTCGGTGTCCCGGCCCCGCCATGGCCACTCTGTGCAGGGACTGACCCATCTCTTTGCTCTCTCTCTCTCCGTCCGTCTGTCTGTCTTTCTCTTGGCAGGTCGTCTGCACTGTCCTTTCATAAAGACAGCTGACAGTGGGCCACCTTCTTCTTCTTCCTCCTCCTCCTCCCCCCCGCGGACCCCCTTCCCCTATATCACCTGCCACCGCACCCCAAATCTCTCCTCTTTCTTCCCATGTAGGTAGCTGGGAGCCCCCAGGCACGCAGCCCCTTGGCCCTGCACCCCTCCCCAACCCTGCTGCTTGCGGGACTGGGGTGCAAGGACAGAGCTGTGGGATCAACAGCCAAGCAGAGGGGGCCAAGGGGCACCTCCTGTGCCCCGCAGTGCACCAGGAGTCAAGTGGGGACAGGCAGAGCCATGCTCAGGAATGTGATGCTGTGCCTGTGGGGCAGTGAGGGATGGATGAGGCTGTGTCCAGGACCAGGTGGAGCTTTGCCTATTGGGCAGAAGGGGTCATATGGTGCTGTGCCCCTTCAGCCAGAGAAAGGGGACACTGTGTGATGCCTGCAGAGAGCAAAGGCTGTGACAGGGCTCGGTGGGGCAGTGTATGGGCAGCGCGTGCCACAGGGGATTGCAACTTGTGGGGATGCCCTGAGGGGCACAGGGCTTGCTGCACCAGGCCTCCCTCCTGCTCAAGGAAGGGACTCGAGTTGGGGGTGGGTAGGTGGCAATGTGCGTCTCACAGCTTTTGGCCAGACTGGTGTGGGACACTGCTGGGGCACCGCTCCCTCCCCGTTCAGGTGTTCACCCCCCAGTGCAGGCATTTCCCCCCAAGCCGTGTCTCCGTTGTCTGCAGGCAGCCAGTCCGACTACCGAAAGGTTTCGGCAGCAGGCTGCAGCCCCTGCGAGTCCAGCCCGGCCTCCACGCCGCTGGGCGAGCAGCGCGCCCGCGCCCCGGCTGAAGAGACGCCGGCAACGCCCAAAGGTGGGCGAGGGGCTGGCGCTGCCTGCTGCATCCTCCCTCATAAACCTGCATCCCCTGCTGCTGCATCCCAGGGTCCCCTTTGCACCTCTCAGTGCATCCTCGCCGTATCGCCTGGTGCATCTTACACGTCTCTGTTGCATTCCCGCTGTCTGTGCTGCATCTGCGCCGCATCCGCTGCTCCCTGCTGCTGCATCCCCACCACCACTGGTGCATTCCCCTCGTGTATCTGCTGTGTTCCTGAATGCGCCCCTGCTGTCTCTGGTGCAGCCCATACTGCATTCCCCATTGTCAGTGCCGTGTCACACCAGTGCATCCCCACCATGGCTGCCACATTCCCAGTGCTTCTCTGCTGGATGTGCCTCATTCCCCAGTGCATCCTTCCCTACATCCCCACTGCATCCTAGGGAACACACCTGCCCTGCCGCACCTTCTGTTGCAATCTTTGTTTCCTTTGTGTTCCCCGTTCCATCCCCGCTTTCATTCTGCACTTCCCAGGGCATTCCCATCCCTTCCCCTCCCTTTGCCTTCCAGCTCCCAGCCCTCTCTGCCTCCCCAGTGCTCCTCTCACCCCCACTATTCCTACTGCCTCTTCAGAGAACACCATCGCTGCCCACCCATCCCACCCGCCCTTCACCATCTCCCAGCCCAAAACTCCGCCCGTCCTCGGCCATCCTCAGGGTGGGCTCTGACCGCTGTCCCCCCCCTTGCAGACTCCCCCAGCCCCAGCACCCAGGTGGCAGAGCCGGCGGTGACCGAGCAGCACTGGCCCTTCCCCGGGCCTGAGGACAAAGCTGCAGAGCCGCCGGGGGACGAGCCCGACCCCGACCCCAGGCCGGCGTGGACAGCGGGGGCTGACATGCTGGGGGACCTGGTGGCCCTGGAGCCCTCCGAGCCGTCCCCAGTGCCCGCTGTGCCCGACCCCCAGCCCGTGGAGACACCCGGCGTGGCCGAGCCCCTCATCGAGCTGTGGCAGAGCGATGGTGCGGCCCCCGCCGCCTCCAGCACCTGGCCCCTGCCCGACACCCCTGCGGGACCACCGGTCCCCCCTGAGGAGGGCACGCTGCTGGGCCTGGACGAGCTGCCTGAGCCCCCCGCCACGTTCTGTGACGCGGAGCAGCACGAGGAGGTGGAAGAAGAAGAGGAGGAGGAGGAGGCCACGGCGGGTGGGCCCCATCCCACGGGGCTGGGCTACCAGGAGGGCTACCAGGAAGGCCACGAGGTGCCCCCCATCACCAACGGGGAGATGGGCCCCAAGGACGGCACGGCGGGGCGCGGCGAGCAGGTGAGGGCTGTGGGGTCACGGCACTGCGGGGTGGGGTGAGGGCACGGGGCCTGCAAATGGCGGCACCCCGAATCCCGCAGGCCAGCGAGGGCTACTTCAGCCAGTCCCAGGAGGAGGAGGCCCCGCCGCCCGAGGAGCCGTCGGCCAAAGCCCCACAGCCCGTCTTCTACAACAAGCCGCCAGGTGAGAGCCCACGGCAGGAACGAGGGGGGGGGGAGGAGGCTCTGCGGGGTGCCCCCTAACTCCATCCCCACAGAGATCGACATCACGTGCTGGGACACGGACCCGCTGCCCGAGGAGGAGGAGAGCTTCGGGGGCGGCCTGTAGGCCCAGCGCAGCCTGGAGGCCCCGCCGGCGCGGGGTGCGAGCGGCCGTGGCCGGGGCCCCCTCCCTGCTGGGGCCCCGCAGGATGGGAGCCGGGGGGGCCGCCCCGCAGCACCCCGGGGTGCCTTTTACAGCCCCTCCCGTCTCTTTCTCTTTTATAAGTTGTCGGTAGGAGACGTGTCAGCCCTCCCCCCCCCACCCCAACTCCCCACCCCGTGAACCCCTCGTAGGCCCCTCCCCACCCCAGCCCCCCATCCTGGGGGGGATACATGAGACCCCCGTGGTGCCCGGCTGTGGGATGGGGGACCCGCTCTCTTTTTGCCCCCCCACCCCCCTCCCCAGTACTTTGCACGAGTTAAAAAAAAAGGAATAATAATAATAATAATAAATGAATATGGCAATAAAGTGACCCTACCGAGGCGAGGCTGCAGCCGGCGGTGCCCGCACCCCAAAGCACTGCGGGGATGCGGGGCCCCCTCCTCGCCAGGAGCCCCCGGTGCAGGGCTTGCCCCGTCCCCATTTCCCCCTCCCCGCTTCGCCCCTCGCTTGGCCCCCCCCTCCCATACAGTATAACTGTTTTTTGGAAAGCACAAGTTCTGTAACGGCGGCGTGCTGATGTATGTTAATAAATAAAGCGACTCCCATAGGGGCTGCTGCCTGCCGGGGGGGAGGGGAGGCTGAAGCAGAGATGTGGGGGGGTCCCTTCTGCCCTATGTGGCGATGGATCCGAGGCGAGCCGGATCCACAAACTTTTATTCTCAAACTGTAACAAACAAAATAAGAAACAGAGCAGAGTCCGAGCCCGGCTCCAAGCCCCCCCGGCTGCGGGGGTGCCAGCAGGGGATGACAGGTGGGGGCGAGAGGGGGAACCAGCCCCTTCCGCGCTGGCGGCGATGGCCCGCGCCGGGGATGGGGTACCCAAGGAGGGCAGCTGAGTGCCCCCATACCGGAGGGGGACCCTTGGGTGGCTGCTGCCCCTCCCTTAGACAGCCGTAGTCCTGCCGAACAGGGGCATGGAGACCGGGAGGTGCCACGGCCCCGGCTCAAAGGTGTCCCTGCTGCTGAGCTCTGAGTCCGTCCAGCTGGGGAACATGCGCGGGGAGCACTCTGCCTGCAGGTAGAGGTCCGGGCAGGCTGGCCCGGGGCTGGCTGAGCGGGGCAGGTGCAGCGCAGAGCCGTAGCCGGTGTCCAGGAAGAGGGGTTTATAGCTGGGGGGCTGCTCCTGCTTCTCCAGCCGCTCGTGGCTCAGGAAGGGCGCATTGATCTTGCGATAGAGCCCACGCGTGTCCATCAGCACCTCGCTGTAGGGTGGGGGGGGCTCGGCCATCAGCAGCGCCTCTTCATAGCACGGCGGCTTCGACAGGTCTGACTCTGCCGGGCAAAGCCCCCCCTCGGCGTCAGCGTGGCCCCCGTACCGTCGTGCTCCCCACTGGGGGGGACGCGCGCTCCGCGGCCGCTCCTTACCGTGCCGGCAGCTCCAGGGCCGGGGGGGTGGGATGTGGGGGTGGTGGTGGTGGTGGTGGTGGTGGTGGGGCTCCAGGCGCACGCGGTGGGGGACGGCCATGCCGGGGGGGCTGCCCCCATAGCCCTCGTAGTGCAGCGGCTCCAGCTCCAGTGCACGCAGGCTCTGCTCCCGCAGCCGCTCCTCCTGCTGCCGCTTGACGCGCCTCCGCAGGTAGCTGCAGAAGCAGCACAGCAGCACGATGAGCCCCCAGATGAGCCAGAAGCCGGCGAAGCAGGTGAGGAAGGTGTAGGTGCCCTGGGACATCACCATCTTTGCCGCCGGCCCGTGCGGGAGGCCCCCGCCTCTCCCTGCCCTCGGGGTTGGGTTAGGGGTGCTCAGGGTGGCGGTAGGGACGATGCGCTCAAGGCGGCTGATGGCCTCCCCATGCCGTGCCCACCACTGTCTCCTCCTGGCCCGTGGGCACCTGCCGTCAGGGCTCCGTCCTCGCCATGGGCCCGCGGGGCTGGGTCAGGTGGGGGGGCACAGGGATGGCACGGTGCCCGGCCCAGCCACTGCCCATTGCTGGGAGGGGGTCAACGGGGACGGGGCTGGGGGAAACCCTGCAATGAGACAGACACCAGCGTGAGCATTCCCACGATGTGCAGCCGTGCCTGGCCCCACACCTCCCCCACACATCTCCCCAGCATACACCCTGCCATGGCTGGGCACCTGGAGCAGGATGCCCTCGATGCCTTCGAGGCAACATGGCATCCTCATGCGTACTGTGCCCCAAATACATGGCTGCCCAGTGCTGACTGCCCTGCAGTATCATAGTGCTTACAGTGCTCATAGGGTGCCATGGGGTGCCCCAGGGAGGAGTGAGCAGCTGCATCACATGGCACATGGAAGCTCATGCACCACAGCCATTGGTGGCCTTGTGGCTGCAGGGGGGCACATGACAGTGTTGGGGACATCTGGGTAGAGGTGGCACTGGGACTGTCGCCTCAGCGCAGCACTTGGCTGTAGGTGGGCTGACAGCTCGGTCACCTTCAGCTGAGTGCTGTGCCCAGGAGGGGCTGCACACAGCAGCAGGCAGCACCCATGGGTGCTGGCAGACTGGCACGTAAGCACCCGTCAGGATTATTATTATCACGGTGTGGGAGAAAACACAATGGGGGAGCGGAGATGTGTGCGAGTGCCGGAGCAGCAGCCGAGGACAGGGAGAGTACGGCGGTGCCACGTGCCTCTGCTCAGCAAAGGTTCCCCAGGCAGCACAGAGCACAGCCAGTGTGCCCAGTGAAGGGACCACAGCAGGGACACAGCGTGCCAGGGAGCTGAGGGGAAGCGGGCAGAGCAGCTGGGCCAGAGGGCCGAGCCATGCCGGAAGGAAGGAGGGTAGGGGAATGGAGGGGCTGGGGAAACACACTCCATCCCTGTTCCGGGTGGTGGGGGCTGCTCCATTGCTCTGCCGCGGGGGCAGAGGAAGCGTTTTGGGGGAGCAGGGTCCCCCTTCCTAGGGAAACGCGAGCTGGCATTGCTGGCTAAGGGCAGCACGGTGCAGGCGCAGCTCGCTAGACTCGGCTGCAACAGAGCAGGGAACAGCGGCGGTGGCAGGGCCAGGGACGGCGAGAGATGGCAGCTGCCAGGGACCGGGGGCGGATGCAGCAGGGAAGGCGGTGGGAAGGGAATGTCGGCGCCGGGGGTGTTCGGGAAGCGGCGGTGCCGTGTGGTCTGGGGGTGCCGGGGACACCCACGCGGCTCCCTCGGTGCGGAGCGGGAGCGCCAGGCGGAGGCAGCGCGAACCGGGCCAGATCTACCCCGACCCCTTCTGACCTCGGCCGGGCACACCCCGTCCCCCTCTGACCCCGGCCTGGGCTCCGGTGCCCGGTGCATCCCCGCGCGGCGCCTGCGGGGGGCGGGATGGGGACACCCGGCGGGGACCTCCCCGCTGCCGGTGCCGGGCACGGCGGCCCCCTCCGTCCTCCTCCTCCCCCCACCGGGAGCGCGCGTTTCCGCCGGGGCGGGGGCGCTTCCCTCCTCCTCCGCTTCCCGGTGCCGACGGCCCCGCGCGCCCCCGCCCCGGCCCCGCTCCCCTCCCCTCCGCGCAACAGGCGGGGGCGCCGCGCCCGCTCCCTCCGCGGCTCCCGTTACCGGCGGCGGCGCACGTGGCTCAAGCTGCGGGCGGTGGCGGCTCCATAGGGCGGCGGCGGCGGCGGGGGAGCGGGGGGTCCTGGTGCGCGCCCGGTGCGCGGCGCCGCCGCCGCTTCCCGGCGCTGCCTTTGTCTCCGGTGAGCGCTCCCGCGCCGCCGCCGCCGCCGCGCACCGCCCCGCCTGGGCTCCCGCCCCGCCGCTCCGCCCCGCCCTCGACTCGGGGAGGGACCCGGCAGCCGGCGGAGCCCCCCGCGCCTCCGCCCTGGGACCCGCGGCCACCGGCGGGGAGTGACTGGGACCAGAGTCGGGGGGAAGGGAGGAGGGGCGGGAAGATGAACGGGAGCGCGGCGCCCGGAGGGGATCCTGCCATGGGTGCCGGGAGCCCCGGCTGAGCCGCTCGACGCGGGGGTGGCAGCCCCGTACTGTGGCGATGCCATCGCCCTGGGGTGGTGGTGGTGGCCGTGGGGTGCCGAGGAGTGACACCCAACCACGCCCTCACATCCACGGTGACAGCCACGCAGGGTCAGTGGCAGCACAGGGGCAGCCACCCCGGCCGTCCCCCCGCCGCTGTGACCCACGGTGGCCGATGGCGGCCTCCGCGCCAGGCGGAAGGTGCCGGCGTGGCTCCAGGGTCAGAGGTGGCATCGGGCGCTGAAGTCTCTGTGCCCCCTTTTCCCTCCCTGCACCCGAGCGCCGTCTCTCTGCTGTGGCCCTTTGCCACCGGGTGGCTGTCACCAGCTGTTCCACGGCACGTCCAAGCCGTTGTCACAGCCAGCTCAAGGAAGGAGAGCTCTGCTATCACCGTGCCCGGGCGCTGCCCGGTGCCGCGTGGCTCTGCTGGGAGCACGGCAGCGTGGGCACGGGGCGGCAGCAGCGCCGGCACGAGGCCGCGGCGCCCTCCGGCTGCCCAGATCCGACCGCGAGGCGGTGACACAACGCGGGGGTGCCCGCACGGGCCGTGACACCGCCGCCGTTTCCTCCCCGTGGGCGCCGCACACTGAGCGCGTTGTCGTGCATGGCCCGGCCGGAAGGACATCCTCCTCCGTGCTGGCCGAGGGCCGGGCTGGGAACAACGGGCACCGCCGCCGTGCCAGGAAGGAGGTCGTTCTGGCGTTGTCCCCGCGGTCCCCGTCGCTGCGGCCATCACTCACCTCGCTGCAACCCGGCTCCGGCGGCGGCTCTCACAGCGCGGCACGGCTCGGTGGATGCAGGGCAGCGCCGGGGGGGGGCGGTGGGGCTGGGAGGCTCCCCACGGGTACGGACAAGGCACGGGGCGCGGAGGGCATCGTCAGGCCAGGGTGAGGATGGGTGGTGGGGATCGGGCGCCGGTTTCGCGTTGGGAGCCGGGCCCGCGGCCTCGCCAGCACCGGGGCCGGGAGCTGCCTTCCCCACGGCGGTGGGGGGGGAGGGGGGGGGAAGACAGGCGGGGGAGCGCTCCCTGAGCCACATGGTGGGCTGGAGGCGGAGCCGTTGCCCAGGCAACAGCTGAGAGCATCCTTCACCCCTGAAAATCGTGCTCGGCACTGCCTCCACCACCCCACGGCTCAGGGCAGGGCACTGAGCACCCCACAGCCCCTTGCTGGCCCCCAGCTCGCAGGGGATTGTTTCTTGGCTCTGGCTTTTTCCAGGGGCTGTGCAGCAGCATGGACACTGCATGCTGCTCCCTATCTGTGGGCACGAAGATGGGGACAAGGGACCCCCAGGCACCAGGGCTGAGGTGCCGCTGGTCAAGGCCAAGCACCTTTTGTGCGATATTTGTGGCTCTGTGGGATGCTCAGTGGCCCAGCTCTGCCACAGCCACAGTGCCCACCAACAAACCGTGATCCCAGGACTTTGTGCCTGAGTGCTGCAGGCCAGACAGTGCCAATTGGCACCAGCACCAGCCTTTCCCATGGGTGCAGCTTCCTCCCCCCTTTGCCATGCCTTCCTTTTTTCCAGAGCTGCAGAAATTTCCTGGATTTTACCCCAAGATGCCCCCTCCGAGTGTGAGAACTCCTCCTCAGCCTGCTCCCATGGCAACTGTTCCCTAGCTACCGATCCTTACTTGCTATTCTCATCCCTGCACAGCTGTGTGCAGCCACCCTGCGCTGCGCACGAGGCCACCACCAGCCCCGCTACCAGCACTGGGCTCCCAGCCCACCGACCGCCTTACCCCACATGTCTCTAGCCAGGCTGCCCCCCCCGCATCCCCTCCTGGCAGCTGTGCTGGCCCCAAGCCCTGGCGTAGCTCTGCAGGGTGTGGGGACCTTGGAGATGCTGTCCCCCTGCATAAGGGGACAGCAAGCAGCGCTTTGCTTCAAGCATAGTGGGCTCAGCTCTAGGGCTGCCCTGGGGACATGTTCCAAAGGGAATGGCAGCACACACACTTGGACAACCAGCGGTGCACCCTGTGGTGACCTAAGCTGCCCTGCAGAAGCCAGAGGACCATCTGCAGTCTCCACCATTAGCAAAGCTCTACCCGAAATTCAACAAGCCCAATGCTGCTTGCACTTCTGGCTCATTCCACCTTGACCCAGCAGCAGCACAAGGCACAGCAAATCTTACACTTAACAAAAGGTTAAAAATGTAAATACTTTCAAACTTTAGTGCAAGGCAAGCAAATGATACCACAGGTCCAAGTTGGTGCTCAGCCCTGCCATGGGGCCTGGCTCAGAATGAGCACAGGGCAGCAGCACACACACATACACACACAAGACCAATTATTGCTAGGAACACAGCTGGGACACATATACTCAAGACAGGACGTGACATGGAGGACAGAGGCAGGAGAGCCAGGCTGAGCTCCCTGGGGACACACAGGACCCCCTTAGAGGCTCAGGCCCCTATAGCAATGCCCTGCCCTCAGGCACAACTCTGCTGGATCCTGCACGCTGGCCCTGCTCCCACTTGGTCATAGTCCTGGGCAAGGAACAGTTCCTCTGTCACAGCTTTGCACCTCAAGAGCACAGCCATCAAAACCGAGCAAGGACTGGGGCCTGCTTGTGTCCCCAGCAAGCCAGCCAAGCTGGTGGGACTGTGCTGGGTCAATCCTGCAGCATGCAGGGACAGGGCTATCCCTCAGGTCCAGCTTCCAGCCAGGTACTGGGGAAGTGGCCACATCCTGCTGTGCTGCAGGCAGGCTGCCAGCAGGCTGAAGAGGCCAGGATCAGTGCCCAGGAACTGGCAGCATGTGTGAGATAAGGCAGGAGAAAGCAGGCTCGGCAGGCAGGGAAGCAGGGATGAGGCAGTGATGCTCTGCTGCCAGGATGCAAAGGGAGATGCTTTGGCAAAGCATTCTCCTGTGCCTCAGGGCTGAGCAATGGACTCCTCTGGAGCCAGGGACGCCTCAGCAGGGCCAGAAAGGTCCAGGAAAGATGCTTTAGGCATCTCAAGGCACAGAAGGCCTCTGCCCAGGACTCCCCGGTACATAGCTGGGACTGTCACTCCCCCCATAGGAGGACATTTGTGCCTGTGACAGAGTGGGGGCAGTGCAGGCCCTCACCTATAGATTAAAAACTGACATGTGATATGTACAGACCGACATATATAAATATACACCACACCTGCAGTGCCACTTCGACACCATGGAATGTGTCAACAGAGCTGCTCCAGCCTGGCCTTGGCCCACACCAGCACAATCCCTCCCTCCTGCCCTGGCCCCAGAGGGGAGCGGCAGTCAGGGGGCAGCAGCAGCACCATCCCCAGCAGCACTCAGAAGTGTCCAGTTCTGTCCTGGGGACGATGGCTCACGCAAAGCCAGAGGTGCCATGTGCTGCTGCCAGCGCTGGAGCCATCCTCACAGTCTTCAGAAAAAGACATGTAAAGTTGTAAACAAATCCACCTCGTGGGGCCACTGCTACCTTGTCCTTCAGGCTGGGCTGTTGTTCTTCTGGGCACCTGGAGAGGCAAGTGTCCCAGGGGCTGGAGAACAGGCTGTGCTCTACAGCCGGGTGGGTTCTTCCTCACTGTCGCTGCAGTTCCCACAACAGTCCTGAAGTCAGAGGGGCAACGAGAAGGAGGGAGAGAGGAGCACAGCAAGCAGAGGGTAAGCACAGTCACATAACCTGGTCTACAGCTGCTCTCTGGCAGAGAAACAAAGTTGCACTGTGGGGCTCAGCTCCTAGCAGACATACTTATGAGTGCATAGCTGACTGGCTCAGAAGCTGAGGGAAAGATGGGCTCCATAGACTACAGCCACCCAGGGAGACAGCTCAGTGCCAGCGCATACAATCTGCCTCACTCAGGACTCATCAGGTGACAGAAAGCAGCTGAAGCCTTGGGGAGGGAGCCTGAGCATGGGACAATGCCAAACTCTTCACAGTATCTCAACTCTTCTCTGTATCTAGGACATCCACAGAGAGGAGAGAGGGGAACCCTGGCCTTCTCCCATCCCCCTGGGAGCAGAGCTCCCAGCTGCAGCAGTACAGGGGCAGCTTTGGCTCAAGCTGAGGGTAAAGCTTCCCCCACAGTGGGGAAGGCAGCAAGAGTAGGGAGCAGGATTAGTGGCTCAGGGGGCAGTTAGAACAACAAACAGCTTATGCTCTGCTGGGGGAAAGGGTTAGGCACTGAAGGATAACACTCCTCTTTCCCAGATCTTGCCATGTCCGTGGGCCACCAGGTATTTCCCTGAGCAGAGCAGCCAGGAGAGACTGCTCACCTCTGGAAAGAGAAAACGTGGCAAATCACAGCTCCATCCCTGCATGAGGCAGCCCATCTTTGGGCAGGCCTTGCCTGCCTATGGAAGAGCTGTGTCTCCCAGCAAGCACAACAGTTAAGCACAAATGGGAACTCAACAGGGAAGTCAGAGTCAGCACCGGGTGACTGGGAGTGGGTCCAGAGCAGGCCGGAGCCAACCATGCTCGAGTGCCACAGCTGCTAGCAGCTGTTGAGGAAGCAGCCCAGAATTTGCCAGTCCTGGAAAGAAGGCAAATACTGTTTGGCTCAGTGGAGGCAGGCAAGCCCACAGCAGATGCATGTTTCTGTTTTACTCATCCCTAGAAAGCATTGCTCTCTCTGTCTGCTCAAGGCCTAGTAGAAATGTTTCAGAGACTCCAGGAGCACATAGAGACCACAGCAAGATGAAGGTCTTCATCAGGGATGATATTATTCATGTAGGAAGGGAGAAGACTTGCTATTTTAGTGCCGTCAGCAGCATCACTCTCTGTGCAACTGCAACATATTTAGCCAGGACACTCCATACCAGCCCCCTCAACATGCAGCAGTGTGAATGTCAGCCAGGCAAGGGTTGGCTCCTTGCAGCCTTGCATGGGATCTCCTGAGAGCCCTGGGATTCAGCCCAGCATGGGGGCTCATATCTGCTGCCCCTACATGCCCACCTTCCTGACAGTTCTGCATTAGTGAGAGAAGGCTCAGGGCTGTGCAAGAAATACTGGGCAAGCACTCATACCTGTCTGCTGAAGAAGCGCTGGAGTAACCCTTTCTTGGGCTGTGGTGAAGGCTGACCTTTCCAGTCCAGGTCTGGAGGCACTGTGCCATCTGTGCTAAACACATTCAGCTCCTTGAAGCAGTCTGTCTCTATCATCTGGAAGAGGGCAAAACATAGCTTCAGCAACTGCAATGCAAAGCCTGTCACCGAGGGCCCAGCAGAGTGTAAGGGCAGCAGTGACAGCAGAGTTGCTGCTGCTTGCCCTGCAGGACGCTGCACCCAACCACAGTGAGCACAAGCAGGGGCAAAGATCTGTCCTGCAAAAAAGGACTGGTGTACATGCTAATTCCCACCCACCTCATTCTGCCAAGGAATGGGCACACTTCCTGTAGCAAACTTCTGGTAGAAGTCATTGTCCGTGGGCTCCAGCTCCACTCCTTTCACCGTGGAGAACTGCTCGATGTCCAGAACATCCTTGCAGTAGATGGCCTGGGGCTAAACAGCACAAACATTGCTCTAATGCCAGGCTGCACAATGATAACACCCACTGAAACAACTTGGATACTGGCCAAGCATAAGCCCCTTCTACCTGCCTGCCTGAGCTCTGTTCTGCCACGCAGGGAGCACTGGTCAGACCCACTTGTGACCAGCAGCCCACCCTCAGGTGAACGGCCAGAGCAGCAGCCCCAGAAACAAGAGCGATGGACCCCATCTCCTCAGGTGAGCCAATGCAGGGCTCCTTCTTCCCTTGAGAGCATCAGTGACTGAAGAGGTCAGTAGGTGGACAGACACTTACATCTGGCTTGAAGGGTGGGTCCAGCATGCCTGCTTCCAGCCTCCGGAAGTTGAGGTGTTTGAAGAGAGGGTGCTCCTTCACCTCCCTAGCCCCAGCTCCTCGGCAGCCCAGGCGCTCCAGGGGGTCTTTGCACAGGAGCTGTAACATAAGAAAATCAGTGTTCCAGGCAGAGCAGTTTGGGCAGGAGCAGCCCTGAGGTTGGTGGACTACTGCAGTATGTCTCCAGGAATGACATGCGCTCACAAGGCATCTGTGAGTGAGGAATTAAGCACTCTGGACCCTCCTGTTACCAGTGTCAGAGCAAGGGAACCTCATTCCCACCCATGCCTCTACAGGGAGCAGTCCTGATGTTCGGCTGCAGTGTGCAAAGGGTGGTAGGGTACAGGGTTGCACTCGTACCATGGTGCAGAGGGAGCGGGCACAGGGCGAGAATTTCTCTGAGTACTCCTCCTGCACATCCTTCACCAACCGCTCCACCTCCTCCCGCTTGATCTTCTTCTTGCGCTGCTGGAAGGGGGACTGTCCCTCAATCATCTCATACACCAGGCAGCCCAGTGCCCACCAGTCTGGGCTGAATGTGTAGCGCTCATTCTTCACTACCTCTGGAGCTATACAGAAGCAGGAAAATGTGAGGTCAGGGAGAGTACAGCGCAGTGCAGCACAGTGCAGTCAGAAGCAACTTTTTAATTAAACCAGGATCACTTCTTACCCATGTAGCCAACTGTTCCCACACGTCCCTTGATTGTTTGGCCCTCAGGCACGTGCACAGCCAGCCCCAGATCTGAGATACGAATGTGACCTGTGCAGAGAAGGGCACAAGTTAACAAATCAAAGTCATGAGACAATATTTGAAGCTGCCAAGAACTTGGAGCAACTCTGATTCAGGCACAGGAAGGGAAAAGGACCTAGGCTTTGCACTCACCATGGTCATCCAGTAATATGTTCTCAGGCTTCAGATCCCTAGGAAGGAAGAAGCCTGATCAACAAGGAACCCATTATGAAAGCAAAGGACATGGGGATCAGTGACATCTCAAGAAGTCACAGGTAAACAGCAGAAGGATGCAAAGCCTTTCTGTAGGCAGCCCTCACCCTGGAATTAGCCCTGTAAGGTCCCCCTCCCAGGCAGAGCAACCTTCAGCCCTCCACCAGGAGGCACTGAGCCTACATCTACTTCCTTCTCTTCAGGTGCACAACTCCAGATAAGATAGGCCATGCAAGAGAGGAGCGGAGTGTCAATACTGGTTGTGAAGTTGAGCACCCAAGTGCATTCTCTGAGGCAATCACAAGCACTTGCATCCTATTAGTGATCCTT